AGTGCATGGTCAAAAGAGGTAGAAATGACAAGACTAAGTGGGTCAAGTGGTATGACTCCAGTCTGGGGCACTGATCACGCTTCTGAGTTTCAGACCTTGCATTAGTCAGGGTTCTTCATAAAAACAGAACCAATAGGAAGTCTTTATGGAGATTTACTGTGAGAAATTGGAGACTGAGAAGTCCTAAGATCTCTTCTCTGCAGACTGGAGGCCCAGGAAAGCTGGTGGTTTAATTGGGTCTGAGTCTGAAGGCCTGAGGGGAACGGAAGATGTAAATCCCAGCCTGAGGGCAAGAGAAGATGACCTGAGAGGTGCCAGCTCAAGTAGTGAGAGAAGGGAAAAAACAGATAAATTCTTCCCCCCTCCACTTTTTGTTCTATTTGAGCCCTGAATGGATTGGCTGATGCTCAATCACACAGACACACACACACAGACAATGTTTAATCTGGGCAGCCCATGGCCCATTCTAGTGGACACAAAAATTAACTATCAGAGACCAGTATGTCCAACTGGCTGCTGGGGCATCCCCATCAGGAAGGTTCACAGTCATCAGAAACACTTTATGGGTCCAACCGGTGTTATAGAGGTTAAGGTGACTGGATCCCATAGGGATGACTGATGGTTCAAGTCCTGGGCTCAGCAGCTTGAATATTATGCCAGATGCATGTGTGTGCCTGCCAAAAATCCTGAGAGGAGAATGAAGAAGGGACTGTGACATGGTCATCCTCCGGGAGGAGGATAATTTCTCACTTTCCCTCTCCTTCTGGTGAGTACATGCACAAAATAGCAAAACGTAAAAAAAAAAGAAAAAAAAAAAAGGCAGCAGCATTATATGAGAGCTCAACTGATATCCTTTCTGACATCATTCCCTCCCTGCTCTGCTGCCCACATGAAATCTGCTCTCTGTCCTTGTCCCTGTCTCAGTTAATGGACTGACCATGCTAGAAAACTCAAGAGTTGTATTAAGCTAATTCCTTTTCCCCACTCTTCCACACCAACTAGCATATAGATCTTGTTAGTTCTAACTCAGAAATATGCAAAATGAATATCATGAATATTATTAACATCATGCAAAAATTTCAATTTTTTTTGCACCAAAATAAACAACTTCAATTCCTTTTTTTAATGAACTTTTTGAAATTTCCTTGTATCTTTGAAAAGCAATTTACTTCTTTCCTCACAAACATTTTCACCTGGTTAGTTACCATAGTCTTCTAATTACATTCCCTCCTTCATGCTTTCCTTTTACATGCTGATCTATCCTCAGCAAATCCACTATTCTTTGGATTTCCAACCCAAATAATCTCTGTAGAATTCATGGGATCCTGGGCTACCCATTAAAAGAGGTCAGCGAGGGATCTCAGTTCTAAGTCTTGACCATGCTAGAGCTGTGTGTAGAAGTGAAAATCCAGCTTGAGCTTTGCTTATACAAATGAAATAACTTGTCATCAGCAGTGAGTGGTCCAGGTTTAGAACTCTCTCATAACTAGGTCCAAGCTGTCTCTCATGACAAGCAGTGGACATTATAACAGGAGAGGGAGGAGCGAGCCTGACAATCTGGCTTTCCCAGATTGATTTGGAGATCTCACCAAAACTTCATTTTATGGGCTTCTGGCATCTTCAGATGATATAACACCAAAACTGATCTGGTATTCTCTGAGTCTTGACATTGTGTTTCTTCTTTGAGGTTGATTAGAAAAATATCAACTTTATCTAAATATTCCACATCAAATAGGGAATGGGGAGAAATAGCATGTCTTGAAATGAAAGGTTATCATGCAGCAGTACCAACTTAGGAAGGCTAGGGGGTGAGACACTTCCAAGAATGTCCAACCTGGAAACCAAGAGGGTAAAGAGCACTGGCAGAGGTGGGAGTAATTTCACATCCCTGCTACTGTACATGTGGGCCCAGTCGTATGCCAAGTCTGTTTGGGTCCATTTTAAGTTTCTGTCATCAAAACCAATGTGATCCCGCTTCTCAGCTTCTTGGCTCTAGTTTGCTCAGCAAAGTCTCTGACTCAGGGACTAAGGTGAGACACCCTGTCTGACTGCTCTGAAGGCACTGCTGCCTCTGGGCTGTGATAATAAACTGTGACTGGGTATTGTATATTCAGTCCATTCCTATTCTTTATGGATTCTGTATTTGCAAGTTGACCTACTCAATAAAGTTTATTTGTAGTCCCCAATACTTGCAGTGATATCATGGTCATTCTTTTTGTTTTTTTGGAGAGGTTTTTGCTATAGAGCGCGTGTGCTCGCCAGAAAGACAGAGAGACAGAGAGACAGAAAGTGAGAAATCACCCCCAGAGGGTATGGCCACGCTCCAATCCCTTCTCCTCCATTCTCCTCCCAGGATCTTGGGCACGCACGCACATGTGCCCAGCTTGAGTTTAAGCTACCGGGTCCAGGATTCGAACTGCGGTCGACTAGTGGGAGTCCAGCGACATAGCCATTACACTAACTGCTGGTCTCATCATGGTCATTCTTGACATACACAATAATGTTGGAAAATAAGGTCACTGAGTCATCGACATTCATGCACATTCTTGGATGATCAGTGTGAAGCTCTTTGTTTCTGAGTGTCTCTCTCATGCTATACGCATGCATGCCTTTCATGGTTTTTGTGCTTTTTGGTGGTGGTTTTACTGTTTAAATGGCTGCTAGGCATAGGACTGAAGTGCTATCTAATGTTCCTGGGTCCAAGAAGGCAGAGGCGAGCTTTTCATAGAAAACACATGTGCTAGCTAAACTTGTTTAGGCCTAAGTTACAGTGCTGCTGGCTGTGAGCTCAGTGATAATAAACAAACAATATGGAACATGCAGGAAAAGGAGGCAAAATCAACTCCTCTATACATGAGCCTGCTCCAGAAGTTAAACTACTGTGTGTGATGAAACGATGGAAAAAAATGGAAAAGCAGCTAACTTTGTGGTTTCATAAGATGATAACTAATCTAAAAAATGAATTAAAGAGCATCATGAGGCCAGCCTGATGAATGGTAGTTAAGATGGCTGGATTCCATATGGATACCCATGCAACTTGAGTCCTGCGCCCAGGAAACATGCTGGGCATGTGTGTGTGTGTGCATGCCCCAAATCCCAAAAGGAAGGAGAAATGGAGAAGAAATTATGGTGTGACCTTTCCACATGCGGGGTGCTTTCTCACTTTTCCTTTCTCTTTTCTCTCTCTCTCTGGCAAGCACATGTGCCTTCTGACAAAAAAAAAAAAAAAAGAGAGAGAGGGAGAGAAAGAGCGGGAAAAAAAAGCGTTGTGAAGCTGGAAAGGAATTTAGTCATGTTATGGTTTTATTTTAAAGAAATACTGCAGAAAACGAATTTGTAAAAAAATGTATTCAAGTTGCTTTATACAGAAACACAATAAAACAAGGTTATATAGCAATGGATTGACAAAGATGGTATGACTAGATGCTCTCAGGAACATAATCTTATATTTCCCCAGGAGCAAGGTCTTGGTTCCAACCGCAGGGCTTCGCACCAATGCAATGCTTCAACGTCAGGTATGTATTGCTTTACTCCTTGTGAAGTCAGCACACATTGATTTTACTTTTGTGTCAGTTTGAAACATTCTACTTGGTTGTGATCTGCTTTGGCCTGAAAATAAGTTATATGACCAGCTTTTCTGTGACTATGTATCAAAAAAAAAAAAAGGCATAAAACAATTTCATACAAAAGATTTCATAAAGTATGTTTGGAATCAACTTAGAATCCATATATTTGATGCTCCCAGGAAACATTCACAGCTTGTGGCTGCTACAATAACCATCATATTCCTTTTTACTCATAGAAGAGGAAAAGGGAGACTAGCCAGTGGCATAGTGGTTGAGACAATGGACTTCCACGTGGTTGACCATGGTTCAAGTCCCAAACCTGACAACTTGAAACTCATGTGCATGTGTACCCAAAATCTCAAGAGGAGAATGGAGGTTACGGGCGGGGTTACAACATGGCCATCTCCCTGGGGTGTGGGGGGGGTGATTTCTCACTGTCTCTCTGTCTTTCCAGTGAGTCCACTTTATCAAAAAAAAAAATAAATAAATAAAAGAGGGAAAGGAATCATTGAAATTCCTCCTTATCCATGAAACAAACCTCTTAGATAACAGGTGTGTGTGAGATGAGCAGAAAGCAGAGTTGCGACAATTTTTATGGGGATGTGTGGTCTTTTGGACTGCTGTGGTTTTTGAAGCCTGCAGATGGGATAATTGAGAGCTCCTGCTTGCTTAGTTAGAGGCTATCTTTGTTTATCTGTAGAAGTCAAGTCCAGAGAGAACAAGTTTAAGTATGAAAGGGAAGAGGGTCAGAGTCATTTGTGGCTATTCTTCATGGTCTACTGGTTAATTGTCAAATCAAATCAAATCATTTTATCAAATCTTGATTTCTTGTTCACTCAACAAAAATAAAACGTAGCTAAAACAATTCACTAAGTCTTTTATAAAAATACTATAAATGTTTTATAACTTCCAGATTTTTTTAAGTATATTTCTTTTGATGAAAGAAGATGAGAGAAAGATGAAAGAAGAAAGAGGGAGAAGAGAGAGAGAGACAACACTCCCAACAGGATCCTGATGATACTACAGCCCACCCCCACACTCAGCTGACTCTGATCATGGGCATGCATACACAAAATATGTACAAGGAGATCTCCTGATATGACCTATGACCCTCCAATGAGGGTCAGCCTCACAGAGTCTCACACTTCACTGCTGTACCTTCATCTGCCCCATCTCCAGATTTAAGAGCAATAATGTGTAAAGAAAAAAAAAATCCCTATCCATCACTTTAATACCTTATGATGCACAGATAGTTAGTGAACATCTGTCGATGGCATCCTTGCTATTTTGGAGATGATATTGACTACAGACAGTACTACAGAGTAAAACTCATGGCAAGCTATCTTAAGAGAAATCTTCCTCTTAAAGCAGGTTTTGCATTTATATAATGAAGCATGAAAAATCAACATGTATTTTATGGAAAATATGAAATATTTAATGTATATAAATTTATTTGCCTTGGCAATTATTTACAATTGATGATTGATACCAACAATTGAGGTAAAAATATACATGAGGTATAAATATAATCTTTAAATGCAATATCATATTTTATTTCCATTGGCAAGATACAATGAATAAAATACTGTGGTATTTGACAAACAAGCTTGATGCATCTTATTCCTCCCTTAACCCCACTTTTACTCTTTTTTCAAAAGATGCACTGTGTTATGATGCAGCAGTGATGTGATTAGTGTGTGCATAAAAATTAAAAAGGTAATCAGAAGAATGGGGGAGTCAGAAATACAATTATATGTCTCTTTATTCTGTATTAAATATTACCTGGGTTCTTGTTTCTCAGAGTGTTCGAGCCAATAACCTGGCCATCCCTGAGGCTCATTAGAAATGCAGAATCTCAGTCCCACCCAAAGGACCTGAATCAAACTCTGCCTTTTAACAAGATCCCCCGGCAATCTGTGTGCATGCTCAAGTCAGAGAAACGCTGCCCTGGGTGACAGAATGCTATTTATTCTTGCATGCCTCTTGTATTTTCCACATACATAGTCTCTTTTCTCTGCAGCAAGACCAGTGTTAAGCAAGATTAAACTTCACTAATAATCTTGTCGATGCATATAAAGTAATCTAGCATATATGCTTAAATTTAAGATGTAATGGTAGAAGTGAATTTGTTTTGCTCACAAAGCATTGCCAAATGGTAAATCATATGTTTGTTGCCATCTTCTTAAGTAGACACGAGAGTGAAAAATTTCTAGGTCACCATTCAAAGAGTATGATTTTCCTCGCACCATACCAAATTCATATATAGCATTTTTATTCCTTTTAATAAAATAATTGCACATTGCTGATAAGAAAAAATTACATAAATGCATATAATACAAAAAAAAAAACAAAAACAAAACAAAAACATTCATTTGTTTTTCCTTTTTTTCCCTCCAACACCAGTTGCTAAATCATGGGATCAATTTCTGTTATGGACAACCAAAGGAAATCTCTCTCCCTGAAAGGCAGTAAGCAGCCTTGTTGAATTGTAATAAAATGGAACTTAAATCCAATAGCAATTGGTTAAAGAGAGTCAATTTGCTTAGTCTATACAATAATAAATAAGGTTGGGTCAAATGTATAGGTAGCTTAATCAGGCTAATGAAAAATAGAATTAATAAACCTGTTTATATTTTCTAAAACTAATCAAAGAACTAGTTTTGGTCTTATGTTAGTTAAAAACCCTGTCTTTCAGATTGCATAACTTTAATGAATTTTATTTTAAGAGCATCTTACATAGTGAAATATTAATTCCCTGAAGCTGTAAGGGTCCATCGCTCTTGAATGACCACTATCTCCCTCTGTCTGGTGTCCAGAGTTAAACTCAGTGCAATACATTGGTAAGGAAATGCTAATCAACTGTGACCAAATAGGCCACTGGTCAAACAGAATGACATGTAACAACACTATGAAGTGTTTTAAGAAAAATATAGAAGTTCCCTTTGGCTATGAATAGATAAAGGCTATTTATTCAGCTCTTCCAGAGCTGAAGGAGTATCAGCGCTGTTTCAGCAACTGGCAGACTCCAGTGGCCCATGGCATCACATCTCACTGAAATTGCACCTGGCTAGGCACAGTGACAATCTGAAATCTAGCCTTCAATTTGGCAATGATGTCTCATCCCTGCTTTAAGTTAACGAAGGTAGCTATTCTTTCCCTTGCTTTATTCCAACATTCCACTCCCTGCTTTTGAATAATACAATCAAATCTTTTAGTACTACTTTCCTTTGGTTAGCTGATCTTTGGTTAGACATCAGAGCAGACTGAGGAACTGTAATGTCTTTACACCTTGCTGTTTAGCAGCAGGCTCTGCTTAGCTTACAGGACAGAGGGGACATGGCACCAGAACAATTTGGAAAGAGCTACGTGAGGAAGGGACTCACCGAGTCAGATGCATTCCTTTTTAGAACGCTCAGTTATATATAAAATTGATCATTTTACATATGTACAGTAAAGAGAGATATACACACATATGTACATATGCTATACACACATTTATTTACAGTTAAGAATATGCTTCTTAGAAGCCTTTAAATAGCAAATTAGGCAATGCATAAGAAATAATCCATTTAATTTTAAGTAACATAGATAAATGTTCTGATTCTTAAAAATATATTAGTAGGGATATAGCCGTCTCCAGGAAGGCTAGGAAAGTTCTCAGACATTCTTGCCTCTTCAACATTCGACTTCTCAGTGTTTCCATTTTAAGCATTTGCCACACCAGTCAACCTCTCTCTCATGTTTTCTCATGGCGCAGACTCCTCGCCACAGGCAATTGCTTTCACTTCCTCTTCCCTGAGTTTGATATCATACTGGGGAAAACTCAGATTTTAGTTTCTGGACCCTCAGCAATGAGGGGCTGAAAAGAGTTTCTAATCCTGGCAACTTCTGCGGCACACAGATGACCAAAGCCTTTGCTGTACCATTCCGGGGAGTGGCCTCTGTGGGGAGAGAAATCAGAAGGTAGGTGGGAAGTCTTTTTCCAAGTCACTGCAATTTGTCATGCTGGACAGGGTTGCCCGTGAACTCTGATCACCAGTGATTTGCATATGACTTGGGACTGCCACCCCAAGGATCTGAGGACATCATTTTGTCATCTGGTGCCAAGTACTCACTGGGCAGTATTAGGGTGCTTTTTAATGATACTAACTCCTCAGGTCAAGTAGGATGATTCACATTGAAATCAGAATTTACTGGGAAAACTCAATTTATATTCACCCAGTCCAAGAACTTGTTCTTTGCAGGATGATTACCTTGATGGGGTTGAATTTAAGTTAGTTTCTTCTCAAAGAAGATAACTGGAGACAGCAGCAAAGAGGACAGGCACAAAAGAACCCAAGAGAAGGGAACTCAGGTGTACTGAACATCTACAATGTGCTTGTGTGTGCTCCACACAAGCACAGACATTTAATCCTAGCCAATGGGGAGCAAAACATTTAATACCCCAAATGGGGATAAAATGGAAAATGCAAAATAAAAGCAAAAAGCTGCAACAGAAATGTGAGAATTTAGAAAAGGAGAGAAGAGGAAGCAGAGGTATATGTAACGGTCTATGAAAGCTCGTTAGTGCCAATGAGGAAAAAAGTACAGTGAAGTAAGAAATCAGATGACAAACAGGTCCCTGTGAATGTGCTCCATGAGCCACAGCTCTAAAGACCTGGGCTTGTTGCCCTCGGAGTCAGCACTTACTTCAGGTCTACCCTACAGATGTGTGTCAGTCTCGATTTGCCAGAGCCACATGGTTCTATCAAGTACTGGGAATCCATCACCACCGCTCTCACACCACCCATGAGCTGGGCTTCCTCATGCTCCACCGAGAGGGACACCAGGGTGCACATTCCTTTGGGCAAATCAGTCCTCCAGGTCCTGTAGCAAAACAACCCCATGTCAGAGTGATGGCTACAAGAGAAAGAAAAGTCTAAACACAGAGCTAAGCTTTACACTTAGATTTTTCTGCCAAAAAAACCTGGGATTAAATTCCAATGCTGGTTACTTGGATGAAGCTCCCAGTTTCAGGAAGCTTTTGTAAAGTTGATTATGGTGCAGTTCAAAGCAAGGATCCCAGGTTTCAGGCTCAGAGACCAGAAATGTCTCCCTGGTTTTAGTTCTGCACCTGGAACTCCAAACTGAGACCTATTCCAGAGGCTCCTATCTGTTACTGAAGAGGTGATTTTACAGTGTAGTAATTAAGACTCCTTCATTCAGTTTATTCCTTCCTCTATTGAGCACATAGATGAACCAGACTCAGAGAAACTGTCAAGAACACAAATAAATATATGAAAAATATATATTAGGGAAAAAAAACCTGTGTGAATTACAAATTTTGTTGTGTACCCACAGTTTATTGTGTACTTAAATTTCACTTTTTCATGGACTTTTTGAAGCCTGTCATATACAGTCCAGTGGGAGAAACTGACAACTGTAAAGAGAACTCTAAAATATCTTTTTAAAAGCAGTGTTTCAATCGCATACTGGGGACTCTGGAGTCATACTGGGGAAGGCTTCCTGAAAGAGGTGATGCTTGATTCAAGTCTTAATAGAGAAATGAACTGTTGGTGCCTAGCTCAAAGAGGAAAAACTATATATGAACCTGCTGTCTTCAAATATCTGAGTGGCTTTAAAAATTATTAATATTATTTTGCTATAGGGCATATGCACTTGAAAGAGAGAGTCAGGCAGAGAGAGAGAGAGACGGAAAGTGAGAAGGCACCCCCCCAGGAGGGATGGCCATACCACAATCTCTTCTCCACTCTCCTCTTGGGATTTTGGGCAAACTTGTACATTTGTCTGGGGTATTTCTTAAGTCGCTGGGTCTGGGATTCCAACTGCACTATTGGTCATGTGGGACCCAGCTGCCCTAACTACCATGCCAACCAGCTGTTTCCTAACTGGCTGTTGAGTGGGAGAAGAAATATAGTTGATTTGATTACAGAAAGTACAGGCAGGATGATACATTTTAGTTCAGTATAGAAAACATCCACAGATGAAAAAGGCTACCATTAGAAGCAGTGAGCTTCCTGTTACTGGAAGGCTTTCCTGTTATTCAAGTACAGTGGAGGCCACCACTTGGAAAAAGGTTTAGATGGGAGTCAGGAAGACCACCTATGTAACAACCTCAAAAAGGCTTTTCTACCACAGGGCTTTATAAAAATAGATTGTATTATTATTTTTCCTATTATTTCCTTCACAAATCCTATTCCCTGGCTGAGTCATGTCATCTATGACTTCACCCTGTCCTACTTCACTAGTCAAACTACCCTACCCTACCTGTCTGATAAGAACATAGGAATAACTGAGCCCTGCACAAATTCTCAGCAACATGCCCAGAGCTATGACTCCCTTCTTTTCATGCATGAAGTGATAAATAATGAAGATTGAAATTCATAAATATTTGTAGGGATAAAATAGGAAAATTTTTAGTCACTGAAGACTCTCAAGGAGCTAGAGCTGGGTATAAAATTAGGGGTAAACATGGTAATTCTGAAAGGTGACCAGCTTCATCATACTAGGTGAGATGCTCTGAAGATAGGAGACAACTAAACCCTGTGACTTACTTGCCATACTTGTCCTTTTTCACTTTCTTGTATCATAAACATAACAACTCCTGTTGGAAGGAACCATGTCTGTTTCATCAATAATTCTATGAGGCTACTGCAGCGAGACTCCACCTTGATCACTATATGTATTTAAAATAGTACCTGTTACTGTCTCCCTATCTTATTTAGTCCCCCTAAGATAAGTCAGTCTATCTCCTTTTCTTATTATTTATTGTCTCTTCTCCCAATAAAATATAAATTGTGAGAGAGCAGGAGCATGGTCTGTTGCATTCACTGTAGTGTGCCCAGAGCCTACAATAGTGCCTGGTACTAGGTAGTGATGGGATGACATACTCATAAATCGTAGGCTGGTGGGATTGCTGGATGAGGGGAGAAGGGAGGTACCATGCATGGACTGCAGTCCTCAGACTTCCCCGGAGATATGGAGAAGAAGCGTGCTATGGTATATCCATCCCTGTGATTGCTATGCTGGAACAACTATTCAATTTTCTGCTTGAGAGAATGAAGGTGTGAAGATTAACTCCACAACATGACTAATGTCCCAATAATCATGGTAATAAGCCACACTTGTTCTCCTCCAGGATCCAAGGTTGCTGAGATAAACACATATATTTAGGGAAAAATGACTCTTAAAAGTTGAAGCCCCAAAGACCAATTCCAAAGGCATAAAGAACTCATGTGACCAGTAACCTTCAGTCTGCCATCAAAACTAGTTTCATAAATAAATAATTTTAAATGTACGTTTGGGAGTTTTACTAATGATTCTTTTCACACTGCTCATCCGTGAGAAGAAACAGGGTTTTACCAAGGTTTTCAATAAAAAAAAATACTGTATTGATCTAATTATATTTTATTCAGTTTGTTTAGTATCTTATATCTCTGTTCTTTCTCATACAATACTGCATTTCTTTTCTTTTTTTAAAAAAGTTTATTTATTTATTTTTCTATGAGCAAGAGAGACAGGGAGAGAGAGAGAGACAGAAAACATTCCTAACAGGGTCCTGATGCCATGATCCACCCCCAGCCTCAGTAAGCACTGGATCATTTGTATACATGTGTGCAGTGTACTCAGAGAGGTCTCTAGACCTGAACTCGTATCATTCCGCTATGGGTCAGCCTTACAGAACATTGTGTTTCACTATTGTGCCACTTTGTAGCCTGAACACTGCTTTTATACAATGCAAACTTTCCAATGTTGATTGAGTATTCTATTTCAATCCCAGTGATCAGGGGTTTGGAATTAATTCATAAATCCATTAATAGTAATATTTCAATGGTAGACACAGACTCAGCCAGCTCTGTCATGTCCTGAAATCTGCATCCCAGTGACTCAGCATAGTTGGACCTTTAGGGCTGCACCAGGGTTTCTGTGCATGGTAATTAGTTATGAACATTTGAAGTTATATAGATGGATTTGAAGTTATACACACTTCAGTCTTGAGAGTTACCCAAATGAAGACTTGCTTTACTGGGGAGGAAGGCAAAATCAGGAGAAAAGCCGGTGAGCTTCAATTTGTATAATTTGGCAGAAAAGGCAACCAGATAAACAGCAGCTATTCTAGAAGTTATTCTCCAGCCTCTGTTCTGAGGAAACGAACAAAATTTATGGCCTAATAAACTGCATGCTCCATAAGGAGAGAAACCATAAGCAAGCCCAGGTCTAGCTTTAAACTGGGTGAAAGAAGCAGGAAGTCAGGCGTAAATTTAGCAAAGTCAGGTTTCATGGAGGGTAACGAAGCCTGCCAGCTTTGTGTTCCCAGTGGAGGCTTGGACTTAGGTAGGAGAATGCCATGTAGTGCTTAAATCTGCAGCTTTCACTCTCCTTTTTCTTTTTTCTTTTTTTTCTATTACAAAAAGAGACAGAGGGAGACAGAGAGACAGGCACCCCTAATGGGGTCTTTGACATATATCCACCCTCAGTCTCTGCTGCTCTGTATCATGGGCACTTTTGTCTGGCATGGAGACCCTGGGACACAAACCCAGGATCTCTCTCAAGTGTCTACTTTGTTACCTTTGTACCACCGTCTGGCCCCACATACTGCTTTTGGAATAGAATACCATATACCACAGGGACAAGCTTACCTGAGGACCACGAAGTCTCTGGAAGGATGGGGGGCCATGCTGTTCAACACATACTGATATATTTCTGTTTGCCTGTCCAGAGTTTCCACAACCTTCCACTGCACAAAGTCCTCATCCCACAGGTGGCGTTCTCTGAGCACGCGGTTCAG